TAGCTATAAGGTGAAAAATTGCCCCGGCCAGTCAGAGTCGACCGAAAAATGCAGAAAACCAGTAGAGTGGCGTGGATAAATGAGTTAATTTTTGTTATGGGCGCCAGGGAGTTAACTCCCCTCAAATAACCAGCGAAACAGCAGTGTTAAGCTCGTCCCACAAGTCAATCTGATGTTTCACAGACCGGTACCATGTTTTGGCCCGGCCCTTGAAAAACTCTGTAGCGCCTTTAATTAAATACCTGGGATCTACGCCCTGACTCTCGGCCTTCTCTCCCAGATCAAGAATAAGACTAAGAACGCTCGTGCCTTCCTCTCCGGAGAAAGACAGATTCCATTTGGAAAAGTTTACATCCGACCGTCTAGACGAGTACTTGGACGACTTAGGTCTTGACTTAGACTTAGCCGAGGCAGAGGAGTGGTTAGACTAGAATGAGAACTAGCAGTACTAGAAGCACCAGAGGGTAGAGAAAAGACCGACAGAACAATAGAAGCGTTGTTGTAGATTGCCATATCCCCAACCTCTCGGAAAGCCGCCACGTGACTCTAGGTCACGCAGGAGAGCCTTTACTCGGTCTCTTCCCTGCGCCCCGCTGTGCTCCAGCAGCCTGCTGAGACGGCGGTTGCAGTGCGCCGCTATTGTCCTTAAGCAACCCGCAGTCGAGTCGTCGGCCCCTACCCCTAGCAGCTCCAAAGCAGTTGCTATCACTGTGAGCTTCGCGTCCCACGCTAGCCTCCTCAAAATTAAGAGGGAGCAGAGCGTCACCCAGCTCCACACCCCCGTCCTCCTCGTACCTCAACTTGTCCGCCCTAAGCCTGTTCTGGAATGTCAAGGGCATGATGTAGGCAAGGGGAAATAGGCTTCAAAAATTTGTACACCCGAAGTCGAAGTTCATGAACTTCGGCTGAAGTTCCCTGAAGTTCGGCCGAAGTTCACTGAAGTTTGCTTTGTAAAATTTTATCGAAGTTCACTGAAATTCTCAGGAGTTCACCTAAATCCATCGAAGTTCACGAAGTTCACCGAAGTTCAAAATAAGCATCAAAGTTCCTCGAAGTTCAAAATAAATGTCGAAGTTCCCCAAAGTTCAAAATAAATGTCGAAGTTCCCCGAAGTTCAAAATAAATCTGAGAAGTTCACTGAAGTTCAAAATAAATCTGAGAAGTTCACTGAAGTTCCAAATATTTTAGTACATATTTACGGCTGCACTTGGTCACTTTTGAGTGCTTACTATAAGCGAGTCTCGAGCTTACTCAAAGCAGGTATCTACGGCCTGAATTAGAAAGATTAAAGAGAAACAATTTTGCTTTCATATCTCTTGACCAGGTCGAAGTGCGAGAACTTCGGTCGAAGTTCCGCGAAGTTCACCGAAGTTACGCGAAGTTCACCGGAGTTTTCGAAGTTCACCGAAGTTCACCTAAGTTCGCCGAAGTTCAAGGAAACGTACACCGAAGTTCAAGCCTATTTCCCCTTGGATGTAGGTTCTCACTCACCGGACGTAGTCTAGCAGAAAAATATGAAAATATGCGAAAAGCAGAAAAGTAAGCGCAGGCGCCGTCCCGATGACGATGACTGCCGCCACGCACGCAGAAAGTTGAGAATTGTAGAAAAGTAGAAGAGACCTGCAGGCTCTCTTCTCACGCCTCTCCCTCTCCACCGTTGCATCAACTGGAATTTACAGGAGCAGAAAAATATTAGAAAAATGCAATAGAAGGTTGCGGACAGCTTCCCATAGTCCGCTGTGGACCGTGCCGAGCCAGCGGAAACGATCCACAACGATAGCTAAGTTTATAACGAAAAAAAAAAAGAAGAAAAAAAACTTATAGCGTACACAAGTTAGACTCCCTCTATTGAAAGGAGAATGATTGCCAGGCCATCCCTGTTCGGATGAACCAAATCGGTGCACCGGCCTGGGCCTATATGGCTTTCAAATAGATGGCAAGCTATTGTTCCTCCTTTACAAAATTGATTAAAAATGTATATTAATTTTACTTTGCCCCCTGGTCCAAACGATGCAATATAACTATTTAGTTGGCTGATGGACTGGCAGGCGTTGGCCTTACGCCCCATTCTGGGTATTGGAGGCAACTCACACAGAGACACATCACACTTCAGTCTACACATATAACGAAGCAAGGAACGCAATGAGATTTTGATTTGATGTTGGGATGTACATTTTACATCGACATTGGTTCCTATCATGACAGTAACCTTGCGGTCCTTCAGCAACTGGAAGTTTTCGCGGACCAGGGAGGACAGCTCGGCGACTGTTTGCCCACTTACGCAAAAAGTCTTACTAAGCGGGTCAAGCAAGGAATTATTTTGAGCATAGTGGCGTTTAAGAATACTGTCGCCCAAAAGAATAGGAGAAACCATCTTTAAAAGACTAATATAGGAAAGTAGGAGAATACAAAACAAATCACAGCTGGCTAGCTACAGAAGTAATTAATTCTCCAAAAAATTGAATGACTCTCCTCCAGCCATACCAGCCGGCACCACCACTAAGTGCGCACACAAAACACAATACTCAAAAACAAGCTGGAAAAAAGAACACACTAATATAAGTACAAGTTGCATTTGAAGTCAGGGATATTAGATTATAGAATGATGTTGCTGAACACTGCGTTGTGCCCCACGTTGGGCACCAAATTATAACTTTGCCATAGCTATAAGGTGAAAAATTGCCCCGGCCAGTCAGAGTCGACCGAAAAATGCAGAAAACCAGTAGAGTGGCGTGGATAAATGAGTTAATTTTTGTCATGGGCGCCAGGGAGTTAACTCCCCTCAAATAACCAGCGAAACAGCTGTGTTAAAACAATGACAATAACAATTTTATTTAAGATAAATAAAATCTGGATAGAGAATAACTATTGAGTGTACGTACGTAACTCCGTCACTAGGCATGACCCACCTAGCCTAGACCACCGAGGGCCCCGCGGTCCACCGCCGCTCGCGAGTGCGCCCCCCACGAAAGTAACTCCAGCACACACGGTGATCCACATCACCGACACTCAACTCAAAAATCACAGTACTCCGTCATACAGACGAAAAAAAGACAATAATAGATAATCTATTAGGGCACTGATGTAATGTAGACTAGATAGATGTACGCCAGACCGCGTCTCGCGTAACAGGCTTCTTCGCGATATCTCACGAAACACTGTTGCGCTACGACGCGCCTGGCATGCAGGGTTGTTAACGTTACTTTGAAAATGTATCGCGATACCGTTACCTCGTTACTCTACCCTCGGTAACGCGTTACCGATACCGTTACAGCCTTCGGAGAATTGTAACGCGTTACGTTACTGGTAACGTCGTTACTTCGTTACTCGATACATGAAATTAATATTTTTTTAAAAATTTCTAGAACGAAACAGTAAGGTGTTAATGTATAATAAGGGGTATATTATGCGTAAAAAAAAGCATGTTAACTAAAGCCAAATTTCTTTAAGAAATATTCTTCGTAATGTTGTGTACAACGAAATCTAGCAAAGAGAGCAACACTTTTTAACGTTCTAGACAAGGGGGAAATTACATGCGAAATAAGTCTTACACCTCCCGCAAAATAAATGCGAAATAATGGCGAAATAGTTGCGAAATACCACCCAAATACCGCGAAATAACCGAAATACGTTGAAATAACTCGTACGCTGTGTCCCCTAGTCATTTCCCCTTCGACTCTAGATAAGTTCGGCGTAGCGAAACGGAGGCGACGCACTGCAGTGACTGACTGAATCAAATGAGACCGAAGGAAGCTGTCACCTGATGTTCCTGCTCTTACCCTCTTACCCTTCCGCCTAGCCTGCCTCCACCACTCCACCAGGCAACACGCCGGCGGCGGTAAGGAGAGCAAAAGGACTGCTGACCCACGGCTGACGCATATGTCTGGCCCAGAGGCTGGCGCTGATACGAAGCGGTGGGTCTCCTTGTCACCATACCGCACTTCCTCGGCCAGCGAGCCAGTGCGGGGAGTCACAACATCCCCTCCTCCCTCTCCCAGTCCCGCGCCGCAGTCCAGCGGCCCTAAGCGCCGCGCCCAGCTATGCTGAGAAGTCATAATATAAGACCTGACCCCCCCCCCCTTCTGCTCCGTGGTGTTCACGGAAAAACATTGCACGATTGCTGCAGAGCGCTTAAACTTTAACTCCCTTCGCATCATCATCATCATCAACGAATTAAGTGTATCCGTCAAATATGTCCCATGTAACGAGTAAAATGTATCGACGTTACGTCTCGTTACTGACGAGGGTAACGATAACGCGTTACCGATACAGCCCAAATGAAAATGTAACGCGTTAGTAACGAGTAACGCGTTACAGTAACTTCGTTACTGCGTTACTGTAACTTTAACAACCCTGTTGGCATACATCTACCCAGGCCTGCGGCGCTGACGCCCGAGTCGGGTATCGCAAAACTGCATACAAAGATTCGAGCCTCCGGCCCGTCAACTTTTCGTCACTTCGACTAAGCATACAGGGTTGTACATTTTTAGCCCGCTCTTTTGCTTAAAAGCTATAGAAGGGAGGTTTTCAAAATAAGCGACATATTTGTGTCTTTTGGCCGTAGAATCGTTATTTTTCTGTCGTTTTCGATGCCGTTTGGCTTATTTGATTTGGGGGAAGGTAGCGAATTAAATTTTAATACAAAAGAGGCAATGTCGGTGGTGAAAGTAATCGAAATTCCTTGGGAAGTAGTCAAAATGTAACTTCCGTACTGTCCTCCGCGCTAAAACCTAAACTTTGGACAGCTATATCTTCAAAAGACTTTGTCGGAGAGAAAATCCGGAAGCTCCTAGGCGTTCCTCCATGTTTTCTGTGCAACATATTCGAATCGCGAACTACTGTCGCAAATACACTGGTCAGGGCAGCAGCCCAAAAAATGTCCTCCAGAGTGACGAAAGGGAAGGACCCATTCAAAAGTTTGCGCTCTGAGCAGTCCCTGTGGCGACAGACATTGGTAGCACTGGTGTCCCAGTCTCCGGTGAGATCACAGCTATCGATTCGAGGGGTGGATAACTCCTGAATTGGGTGTACAAATTTCAAGAATTGAATGAGGTATTTTACGAATAAGAAGAACAGGAGGAATCCCGGCCGACGTCTGCTCCCAGACCATAACAAAGCCACGACCAAGCGCACGGTTTCTCGCGTAACTCCGCTAAAACTGAAAAGAAGTCATAGCTGTTCTATATCATTTTAAAGCTGAGAACCTCAAAAATCTGGTACACGAGAAACCGTTTCGTTATGCACCAGTGACCTGCGACTTGTTGTGGTCCAAAAGCCGGGATTCCATCTGTTCTTATTCGTAAAATACCTCATTTGAATTAGCTTGAATTGGCTTGAATTAAATTTGAATTGGACTGAATTGGTTTGAATTATTGCGATTTTATGTTACTGAATTTGCGTGAATTGGTTTGAATTGGCTGCACATTGTCTTGAATTGGACTGAATTAGTTGAATCAGTTTTGACTTTGTTTGAATTAAATTGCATTGGTCTGAATTAGTTTGAATTGAACAGAATTAGGGGTGTACACTTGGCAGCGGAGTTATCCACCCCTCGTGTCGATTTGAAGTATGGGCGGCTTCGAGATGTAAACGGTAAGTGAACTAGAGGCGTTTGAATGTTAAATTCTGGGTTTTTAGAAGCACACCTGTAACAATCCGTACGGCTCGTAGCTCCGCCAATTTTTGTCGCACAGAAATCATTCCTTTTGACCTAGCATACATTTTATGTCTCGTAAAATATCTGATTTTGTCCGGTACTCATATCACCAAGGATCTGCTTGAAACTGCCTATTTTATGAAAATGTAACTTTCGCACAGCTGTGTAACTTCCGTACAACCGACTTTGCACGGGTGTTACTTCCATTTTCGAGTATTCTGCATTGGGAGCTCTAGTATCTTCAGGATGTGGTCAGGGGACAGGCCCAAACAGACCCCACACGAAAAAAAAGTTTCTCAAAAATAATTTTTTGTTGAGATTTCAGAAGGCCAAATATGTCGGTTATTTTGAAAACCTCCCATAAGCGGGCTTATGCCATCGCCTCTGTGTTCGTCTGTCTGTCTGTCCGTTTCCCAAGAAGGACGTGAGCTAGAGGTTTGAAATTTTCATAACTATGCCTGGAAGTATAATTAACTTCTTAGGGCTAGTCTTATGTATCTTTTCATAGGTAATTTATTTGATTCATAAGCTAACATCAATAACTTAGAAGGGATTTGGCATAACTTGCATGTATTCTACAAACTGCGGCACACACAGCCAAAGATGTTCAGCGTATGAAAAGAGTACTTCGTTTGTAGAGGTGTGCGAACTGAGGTTTTTCAAAGTCGAATCGAATCGAATCGAATCTTCTTTAAAATAACTCGAATCGAATCGAATCTCATTTTTTTACCTCGAATCGAATCGGCAGTTTTAGTATTTATGAAACGTTTAGAGTGTTTATGTATATGGATTAAGTCTAAAACGGTTAATAAATCAGGTTTAATTTTCCTCTTTCAAATTCTAATGCCTTTTGAACAGTCTCAGGTGGAATTGGA